ATATATATATATATATATACGTATATATAATCAAAATTTGCATAAAGTTAATGTAGATCGCGTATACAAAATTTTGCTTATTTAGCATGCTTTAAACTTATTTGCACGGCAACTATGTCCTTTATTTGGATTTTCCAACTTATGAGTTTGAACCAACATTTTACAAGTTCTACTTACCACTTAATTTTTCAGGCTTTTCACATATTATTTTTTCATATGCTCTCAGAAGTTCGCAATTTTTGACTCCAGCGAAAAATAAACAATGAAAAATTTTGAGCAAAGCGAAGTTTTCTTAAAAAAGAATTCACATATAGTAAACTTCTAGTTTCATTGCACTTTATCAGGTAAGCTTGTACTGTATTTGGATCGAAGAGCTGCTATAGTGCTCGTCTGTCCCCCTTGCTTCCACTTATTTACCAGGACCGAGAGCAATGTAGACATATTGCAGCAAGCTACCAGAAAGAACCCGCATGCAAGAATTTGCACCTGTAATATGACATTTAATTATTGCGGAAAAAGATTACCAAAAGGATTTTGGATTACAAATGAAGCATATCAAATCCATCTTTCCCACATTTTCGGCTCTGAATATATCTCTTATATTTGATTTCAATTTCAAATACAAGCCAACGGTCAAAAGTTTATGACTGGTAATACAAATTTCGGTTGATAAAAATAATCAGAAAAGAAATACCTGCCATTGATTGATACAAATCGATGCTTTGGATAGGTAATATAATTTGTAGGAATTGTAGAATTGGAAAACATAAGTTAGCATAAGGAAGGGTAATAAGAAAGTTAATCCTTTGAACATCCAGCTGCTAAATCCCTCTGAAATTAGTAGTATAAAAATAAGAAATAATTTGAACAGTAACTTGAATAGTAACTTCTATTAGAATTTTTTTGGAATTCTTCCTACCGACAGATATATCCATGCTGTATCGTTGTCCTAGCGCATGCAAACGTCGTAGACATCCAGTTTGATAGCGGCATTGCAAAAGCTAAAAATGAAAACGTTATATTTTGTAGAAAGTAATCCATGAAGGACAAAAATTATACGCAATAATTTGACGAGAATCTATAAATTAAACGTGAACGAACCTGAACAAAAGATAGAAAAAAACAAAACATGATAAATTGTGTCCGAATACTTCGGTAACATTCGCCATCTCCCCATGTTACAGTTATACCAGAAAGTACACAAGAAACGTAATGATGTATTATCCACCAACCTTTAATCCTAAAATTATGGCAAAATTATTAAGAGAGCTTTATTCCTAATAATTTGGACGTTTATGGCTGCAAATTTTCTGAAAAAAAAAAGTAGACAAGGTACAACAACATGATACCTTGATCCATTAATTCGTAATATTGCTTCACGTATTGTTAAGGTGCAATAAAACCATACCAAAACGAAATTTATCACTAAATCAAGAACTCTAAAATAGAAAAGATGTAAAGTTCGCGATGATATACCGAGAAATCACCGATTTAATGGATAAATTATGACCGGGGAAATCATCACAATTTTACAGCAAATTTTGTTAGTCGTGCAGTGATAATGCAACAAAGTAACGGAATTTAGCTATAGTTTAACGATACTTTCCTTTTTCTACAATGAAACAAAAAAAAGAGACATGAACCTGGATGTAAATATATAAGCAAGAAAGAGAAGAGATAGTAGAGCACAGTTTACGGTAACTTTGAACTTCTCGTACTCCTGTTTATATCGATAACGATCATTTTTATTCATTAATGATACATTTAAGTTACTACCGAGGATAATCGACAAATATAAACTGAAATTTCAATAAATTGTCATTTCTTAATCAATCATTGTCATTGTAAAGAAATGCATTTTTACGTCCCGTTTAATTTTGATTTTGCTTACTAAAACTGGAAAGAGTATAACTCGACAATGAATAAATGAATAAGGAAACATTACATTCATACATTTTACATTACAATTATGCAAAACTTCCCTGAAGTATCTAGTAATTACATCTTACCCATTATCTTGCACAGGTAATTCACCCATCATATCTTGCGATCTCCTCTCTAATTCTGCGACACCTTCTTTCATCGTTTTCAAATATCCAATGTTTTCAGGTTGCTCTTTACCTTTTAAGCTGAAAATCATCTCCGGCAAATAGTTTAATCATAAATCGTCCAAAAACACAACCTAAAAAAAATAAATCCGAATTTTCAAACCAGACTTCAATTTAATTGAACCAATGAAAACAACCTTCTCAGAGATTCTCTGATCTTGGATATCCGATACAGGCAATGTTTCACTGCTTTTTGGCATCCTTCTTGCAATTTGGATACTTTTTGTAATTTGCCCAAATATATACGATGATGATCCTAAAAAAATCTCCCAATTTTTCAAACTTCAATTAAAAAAATTAGTATTTGCGACATTTAGCTGAACTGCTAAGTTTTGAATTCATCTACTTTGTTAATTGCTTACCAGCTAAAGTCATCAATCAAATAATATGTAAGTACAGCACAACAGATATAAATGTACATTAGAAAATATAATCCCTCAGAGATTATACAACTAAGTTACATCATTTCAAATGATTTTTCAGATTGCAATTATCTGCAGATTTTTTTTTTTTTGATCTGTAGCTCAAAACACTTTCGCATTCAGTAATCCAGCAACCATTTCAGTACTATGATGAGAGAAAAAAAAGCGCAGAAAATTTTCAAACCTCAATTTCTTCAAATTCATCTTTCAATGAACGCCATTCGTCGAACGCACGTTCAAATGGGCTTTTCTCATCTACCATGGCTAGAAATCTTTATATTTAAAGATTTTATTTTTTAAATTAAGGAATTAAGTACGTATGGTAGACAATTTGTCAAATTTATAATCTAAGCGAAGTTTTAATCCATCATTTTTTACTGATATTTCATAGAAATACTTCAATATCTTCCATATCAATGGAAAATTAAGAAAATAAATGTGATAGAAATTTAGAAAATTATTAGTGAACTGCAAAATTTGAACTAAAATCTAACTGATAATTACATTATGGAAAAGGAAAGATTTAAGCGAGAAGGTAAGATAATGGTTGTAACATATCTCTAAATTTCGAGCAAATTCAACGTTTTGAAACATTGCAGTAATACCAAAACGAACGTGTCAATTTTCTATTAACTGAACATATGATTAATATGATTACAGAAATATTAGAACTGAGCGACAAATGAGAAAATAGTATGGTAACTCAGAAATTCACAGCAAACATTAACATTATGATAGCTATAGAAAAAATGAAAAATACGTCATGCTTAAAGTAGAAGAATAAAAGGTCAGAAAATGTTATAGGCTGCACTAATTACAGTGGAAAAAACCAAAGACTGAAAACTATGAGGATATTACACCATCAGAAGATACGCGATTTCTATTAATTTCTTTAAATCAATTTAATCAACAACTGAAAAGATCCCTTACTACGAAAAACTTCTAAATTGAAGTGACACTTGGACCAAACAAAACAAAGACCAAACAATGAGAAAAGAAAAACTCGAAATAATTTTAAAAATAAACTCAAAAAGAAATTACTCCCAGTAACATATAAAACTTGGAGAATTACAAATGTTTGCTAAAATTTAAACCTATTTAAATTCAAACAGTTAAAATTCGACAAAGCATTTAACAGCTAATAATCTGTCACACTATTTCTAAGATTTACGTAGAATCAATTCTATGTGACAGAGATACCAATCGTACGTGGAGAGGAGAAAACTCGAAGATTATTTGTATGTGAAACGCATCATTCGTAACATATTCAACAAGTATACCAAAATTTGGTAATATTTGAATTTTCTTTTTAAAAATAACTTGAAAATTGAATTTACAATCCTTTCTGCACAATAGCTTCATGTAAATAATGTATGAAAGGGAAATCATAAATTAAAAAAAAAAAAGACTTCAGAAAATGGAAGAAATGAAAATAATTCTCAACATTTGATGCGTCACTGGTATTAGTATCAAACTGAAATAAATGAATAGATAGGTATAGATTGATGGTACTACTAGAAAGGCAATTAAAATAATACGAGAAAACATGACGAAGCAAATAAGGATTACAAAAAAAAGAGAAAGAGTAGTATTAGAAGAATATAAGATGTGGAATAGTAGCAATAGCAATGATAACGATAACAATAAAATTGATACTATTTAAAATCATACTATTCAAAAAAAAAAACCATTGAAGATAACACCACCAGATTGTACCAATAAACATGATGCCATTAGAGATATAGGGTCAATAAGGAAGATGGAGCAGTTAGGAATGGATAAATTACCTTAGATGATAGCAAGAATGGTAAAATTCGAATAATGTTAACAATAACACCATTAGGAATACTGTAGCAATAATAATGATGACCTCAATAACAGTGATAAATTAATATAAATTGTTGCAATAAATTAATATGAATTAAACAAATTTCTTTCATTGTAGAAAATTTCATTGATTATCGTCAATCCTTAAAATTAATCAACCATTCTTTTTTCGCTGTGTTCGTTTGATTGCTTCACTTTCTCTTCACATATTGCCTTATAAAGTATCAGTATTATATACAAACATTATTATGAATAATAAGGGAAAAATTACAAGACTTGATTATCAAATTTAAAAATTAGGTGGTGAAATTCAGAAATTAGATAATGAAATTGAGAAATTTAATGACGATAGGAATATGTGATGAAATATGTCTGACATATTCTCATATTATGTTTTATAAACGAATCCCTAATAATCGATTCCATATGAATAATTAATGACATTATATGCTCGAATTATTGAATTAAACAAATTAAAAAAAAAATAATAGTTTAACAGTTAATCCAAGAAGAAAATGAATAAATCCAATTCGAAATTCATTCATTGGTAGCAAAAGGTGAACCTTACCCCTATGGATTTCAATCAAAAAAAATAAATAAATAAATAAATAAATAAAACAAAGAACAAAAACGAACCAGTTTGACAAGAAAATTAAGACATTTGTAAAAAGTTTATCCTTAATAAATTTCAAAAAGAAAAAAGAAAATAGGAAACAAGTAGTATGTTTGAATGATATTACCGCTCCTTACATTTTGCAAAAAAAAAGGAAAAAAGAAAAAATATCGTCTTGAAGTCATTATCGATGAATATGACGACTAAGCCAAAATTTCCAAAATTATTCGTCTATCTTTTGAAATTGACGAACAACAATAGCAACACATTCCAATGAATCCAAAAGCAGCAGGTTTTTTTTCCGTGCCCAGAATTCTCGACAGAAGAAAAAAAAAGAAAGGAAATCTACAAAAATGCACCTTTCCTTCTCGGAAAAGTCAAATAATTCGAGAAAAAATTGATTTGATAATAAAAATAGTAATAATAATTAATAATTAATAATTAATATTAATAATAATAATAATAATAATAATAATAATAATAATAATAATAATAATAATAATAATAATAATAATAATAACAATAATAATAATAATAATAAATAATAAATAAGGAAAAAATAATACCAGAAAAAGAACAAACATGAAAAAGTATAATACATAAGAGAGCAGAAATCCATTGATAATTTCAAGATTAAGGGAACATGAGTAAACAAAGAGAGTACAAAATAATATATAATGGCAAGCTGGAATGATTACACTGTTTACTATCAATGAAGCAACACCAAGGCAGAAATCCGAATATCAAACTACTGCGCAAGGAGATATCTCGCAAAAAGCATTTCCCACCAGTCCAGTCATTTCATACTTCATGTTCCTGAAATCTATTGCAAAGTATTCACATCCTGGTAAACACACAGTCAGCTACTTCAAAGAAATCCACTGCATTCCATCTATAGAGAATTTTAGCATATTTCTCAATCAGCAATTTTTTATTTCATATTATCTCATACTTGATAAAATACGCAAGTAGAGAACTTTGAAAAGTTATTCTGAAATAAGAAGTCCGAGAAAATGTTCTCGTTCTTAAAGTCGCTTTATTGAAAGAAGTTATTAAAGCTTTTTCAGCTTACATGCTTAACTCTTTGAATCATACGAACAAAAAGCAGCGGAATTTCAAAGATGAAATTGAATAAAACCAATGAAATTTAGCTGGAATGAAATAGATCCAATAATAACTGAGGAGGTTCAAATGAAAATAATACAATTTTGTCTATCGAAAAAAAAGAACAATTGGAGTTGACGATAAGACATATAAAAAGAATGACAAAAAGAATGACAAAAAAGAATGACAGGTCGAAGGCATGTCAAATGATTCAAATTCCTAACAAAATAAAACATTTTGCTTCTTCAGAACAATAAATGGAAGAAAAAGGAAAGAACGAACTGAATGAGATGTGAAACGTGTAGTAAACAAGTGAGCAAAATAATATTTGAGGAAAAGAAAGAAAAACTGTTTGTTGCTAAAGTACACATTCCACGAATCAGTTATCAAATGTTTCGAGTTAAAGAAAGGCCATTTTTTCAACCATTTCAAATCAATTCTTGCATAAAGAACCAAAGGATTGTGTTAGAATTAAAATTTTGTAAGACTTCAAATGCATGTTACATGAAAGCCAGCAATAAATTAGAAAAACTCTATTGAAAATAAAATTAAAAGTTTTTTAAGAAGAAATGCTAAGAATGCACTTGGAATATGTTTACGTCTGTATATGCTATGCGTTTCCAATTTTTCAAAATTACAATAAACAATGCAGTTCTTGTACATATGAACTTGCTTGCATAAAAGACGTGCTTTTAATAGTTCCGAAAAGAAAGGAATGTCGTAAATGGAGTAAATACATTTGATTATACATTCTCGAACATGAACTGTAATAAGATGATCCACAGATATTTATGCTAAACATGACTACCTATAGAAATATGATGTTTGAAAAAAAATACCTTGTGAAATAAGGGATCAATTCATGGTATTATTTTATGCATAGCATTTAGAATCACTGCATAATTTCTTATCTTATAACTTTGTGTGAAAGGACATGTTTTTAAATCGATATTTTAACGCTTAAAAAAAATCGATTTAAAAAGAAAGAATCAAGAAATCAAGACAACAATATAACATTTCATACTTGAAATAGTCAATTCAATTCACTTAAATTACAGTCTCAGTTTAAATTATCTCAAATAGCAGTTTCACGCTCGAATGCAGGTAAAAAACTCATTTTTCCAATATTGCGTCTCGATGTTGATTCTGTTTGTGTTTTCTGTTTTTCTGTAATTACGCTAGAACGTGTAAAGCCGTCGTAACCATTAGTTGGCTGAAAAAAAAGTGGAGTAAGAAAATATAATGAAAACAAAACAAAATGAAGTTTCTTACTTGGGGAAAAATATGAAAGAACCTGTTACAAACAAATTTATTTGCAGAGACTAGGATTATAAACATGCATCCACATACACATTCATACATACATAAATACGTCACATATATATACACGCATGCACACATATGCACACATACACGCATACATATATAAATAATACATATATACATACATACAAAACCCAAGCTATCCTGCCACTGCTCTCTCGCTCTCTTTATGTTTTGAATTTAAATTACATAAATCTTGAAGCGTTCTAGCCAGCAGATGAAAAAGTTGTTTAATTGAAAAATATCTGGTCCAAAATATCATATTCCTTTCATCTTTTAATGCCCTTTTATGCTTCTCTTTGCGTCAAATTAAATGATTTAAATAAACATGGTGTTAGAAAAGAATATACCTCTTTTTGTGCTGGTAGAATCAGTCGTCTAGCCTCAGGAATTTGCAACGGATAA